ACTTTTTTAATATGACATCCTCACTGTACTTCTCCCCATTGTCCTTTTCATTTTCAGCATCACTTATATTTTCATGGTCAGGATTCAAATATATCAGTCCAGGATCCGAACACAAGTGAGCAGCCAATGGAATAAAAAAAGTTTGATTCTCCGGAAGATCAAAATGATTAAAAGTAGAGTGAAAAGAGTCTTGAGTGACAAAAGCTGGATCTACAAATTCTTGCTTCGAAGATGATGGTACAGGATTAGAAGGCGAATAGGTAGAGTTTTGATTGAACACAGCTTGATTCACAGGTAAGGGCCGGTAGATTAAAAGCAGAGGCTGGATCTACAAATTCTTGCTTCGAAGATGACAGTACCGGATTAGAAGTTGAATAAGTTAAGTTTTTACTGACCACATCTTGATTGACAGGTAAGGCCGGTGGATTGAAAGCAGAAGTTTGGGTTACAAAACCTTGATTAGAAGCTGCAGGTAAAGAATCATCATGTATCTCGATGATATTATCACTGATTTGTAAAAATGTTTTTTTGTTGGCCGGTTTTTTAAAATGTGATATAAGTTTCACACGATTTACTTTGTTACCCGTAGACTTATTTAGACGACGAGTCATTTTAAAAACGTTTCGGAGCGCGCATAGTGAAGTCTTCTAATTATTCTGATAAACTAATGTGTTCTGCAAATATCTATGTATATATATGGAACACTAAAAAAACATTTTCTTTATTGTTTTATTTCTTACAATATTCTCTTTAAAGGCCTGGGGTTTAGTTCGAATAGTCAACGCCTTCTAACCAATAAAGAAATTTCGCGCTCAAAAAGCTTGTTAGCGTCAGAGTGTTGTACTCAATTTTTATAATTTTTAAAATTTCTTGCGTGAGAATCATAAAATAGAACGGCACCCATGCATATGTGTATAATCTCTTTTGTTTTTAATACATTGTAGTTTTATTTCTATACTTGGTTTGTTTCTTTAAGTGATGTAGACTATGTTTTGTTTTTGTTTTAAAACATCATGGGAAAATACAGATAAAAGTAACTAATTATTAAAAAGACACATATTTTAACTCGTTTTACGCTTAGTAGGAATTGCAATATTTTCCTACAGTTTACCTTACAAAAACTCAGAAGTGTGTGAAATATGATGATAGGAAGGTGTTAAATTTTGCCTTTACAAATCATGTAAAATTGTCGTTTTAGGTATGAACATTAAAATGAATTTTAGTATCAGCCTTTAATCTGAACAAACATCATGTATTCTTGCTTAATTTTTATAATGTTTATGGTGGTGGTATCAGCCCAATATAATAGGTGCGAAGAAGAAAAATTTCTTCTTCACCGCGAAGTGGAGGCGCTTCAAAAAACCAACCTTAACTTAAAAAATGATGTGGCATTATGGAAAGAGGCATGTTCAATAAAAACCCAAAATAAAGCCGATGATATTATTAGGTAAGTTACTATAATTTTGGTTAAATTAAAATAACAAAAATACGCTGATTATGTTATGTTATATTGACAATTCAGAACATATGAGAATCATTTATATTTAAAAAAGGAAATATGTATTTATTTGTAACCTCTATTTACATAGATAATATTACCATTTTATATTAAAATTTCGTTATTAAAAAAGGATTTTTTACTCTGAATTGTCCTGCTTTGTTTTTGTTTTGTAATTTTAAAACCTTAAACTCGTTCTCGGAAATTGGAATATATATGCATTGAAGTAAGATATCTAAACTTAAAAATAATTCAAATTTACTTACAATATTACCTGTTATATTACCAGTATATAAAATTTATTTGATTAATAGAGTGTACTTCACGTAAAAAATACAACGTCTTTTTTTACACTTTTAAACCTCAAAGTTAAAATCTTTACTCAATATAAAAAATGTTTTCAAAAGTAGATTAAGGAAAGTTCATTTTCAAATTTTAAGCTTTGCATTAACCTTCAACTCACCTATGGCTACTCCTCGTCAAATGAACCTTTTAACTAATTATATTTTAATGTAAATTTTAATCCCCCTATTACTGGCGGAATAAGCACCTCTTAGCAATCCGATTAGCCTACATGTCAAACAATATTATAAAACTATTTTAAATGTTAGATTTATAACAAAATTATTTTTATTTGTAGTCGAGACCACGAAATTTTTTATCTTAGGCAAACCCTTGTCAACAAAGAACTGCAGTGTTCAAGAATGGTTGGAGTGAGGGGTGATAGGATAGTTGAATTGGAAAAAGTTATGGAAATCGTCAAGAATAATTTTACCAGTTGTACCCATAATTTAACAAAAATGGGGAAAGAAAAGATGGTAATTTTAAATAATTTAAATAACGTCGAGGACGAAAACGCTGACTTACACGACAATATTGGCAGATTTAGAAGTATAAATAACGTCTTGAGAAAGAGAATTAAACTATGGAAGAAGCGCGTTGAAAGATGTAGGAATAAGAAAAATAATAAATAAATAAATAATTTTTATAAAAAATATTTTTAATAAAATGTTAAACATTTTTGGTTCTTATTTTTCCTTTAATTTATTAATTAAAAAATACTGGTGCTTCGAAAGGATTCCTCACTGTTCCTAAAGTAACGCTGGGAAACCATAACCAAAGCTTACACAGACCACGAGGCTAATAACCACAGCAGTTGATGCCGTTGACACCAAAAAATAATAATAAAAAATAAACGGAGAGTGAAGTCTATCTGACAGTTTAGCGATATATACATTAATAATATAAACTTTTTAATAAAGGATGCGAATATTAATTAATTCTAGACTGCTATACATTGTTCCTGTCTTTTTAAATATTCATGTATACACTTTTCTTTTTAAAATTTTCGATAGATCTACCTCTAATTAAACAAAAACATAAATTTTAAACATTACGAAAAATTTATTTTGAACTATAAAATCATCAATAAAAAATGTAATTTAATACCAACATCGTGAGCGTTCCAAAGGCGGCTTTAAAGAGTACCTAGATAGAATTACACCGGCGCCACAACATAGATTAAATTAATATATCTACCACAAAAGTACGTCAACATAAAATTAATTACACCATGTTGTAGTCTTTATTATTGTTGTTATTCTGTTAAAAAAAAATATCGTGACTATTTTATAAATTGGAAAAATATACTATCTTCATAATTAGTATAGAGAATGTGAAAAATTATAACTATTTCAGGCTATTAAACAGGGTAAACATTTTAAAAAATGATGAAAACTTTGGTACCTACAAATATAAATTTTAACAGAATTTATAGGGTTCATTCTAAAATGTTTGTAGCCCGATGTTAAGTTATAAAAATAAATAATTTTCTAATACGTTGCTTTATAGGGATCACTGCACTTTGCAAAGTATCAGATTACATATATCCTGTACACCCAGTGTCGTTTTAGTACATACAAAAATTTTTATTCCTTTTCACAATTTTATTTTGCATACATTTTCGTTATTTATTTTGCTTTGTTTAAGAAATAATTAATATTTATTAAAATTTAAAAATTTATTTGCTGAAATTGTTCGGCTCATATATGGAAAAATTTATACATTATTTATTTTAATTCACCTTCCAATTGATTTGAAGTACTATATTTATAGCATACAGCATATGCATATTGTAAATTAGTATTGTATTGAGCTAAAATAAATCAAGTTATTCAATAAAAAATAGGGTGTTTTAGTGGAGCTAACAGTAAAATTTTGTATACCTAAATAAACGTTTTATTGGGTCAGACTTGAAGAGCTAGTAAATAAGTTGTGGGTCAACTTCTAAATCACTTAGTTTTTAGAAGTTGACGGAGTTGCACAGGGCTACTGGCCCTGTGAACTCGAGAGAACAGGAATGAGAAATCAAAAGTATTTACTAAAAGTTAAACCATTACACTACAAAATTAGGGGTAATAATTTTTACTAACAAATTGCAAAACATTTAAATAAATTTTATTTTAAATTAAATCAACATCGTAATTAATTACAGTTATCGTTTTTACATTATAATTCAGATAGCTACACCACATTTTAACGCTCACATAATCTTTTCTGGCTTCAGTCATGATTCGAGTTCATTTTTAAACGCATCCACATTTTCACATCTCATGTTCTCAGAAATTTTTAGTAATTTCACGTTTGTCATTAAAGTTAACTTTGAAGAAAAGCTGTCTAGATGCTGTACATCGGGGCTTGTCGTCGTGCTCGATGGATATATTGCACATCTTTATTAATTACAATTCTCCTTTTAACTTTATAATTCTGGTGGCTAGCTCACATTTTAACTTAGTCATTTTATTTATTTGGGTTTCAATAACTTTGTAATCCTCACACAATGTCTTTATCTCCTGAACTATTTTGGCCTCAAGCATGATCCGGTTTTCTGCCATTTTTAAAAACGGTTCTATATCTTCACGTATCGCCTTATCATATTCCTTGAAACGAGCACTATTTTCGCGTTTATTAGTAGAAGATGTTTTTACAATTTCAGAATTTTCCACGTTCATATTGATTACTATAGCATAGTATTAAAACTGAAAAGTATGGCGACAGCCCCTTTTAAATAACAAAATTTGTGCACAAAAAATGTCACTAACCATGTTTTATGAAAGTACCAATGGTGGGGGCGGATGTCTTTATCATTCCCAAAAATATTAAATTACATGCCAGATGGTCAACATGTGTTTGCCAGTATATCATTATCATTATAATTTACATGCCACGTATGGACACCAGATGTTGCCATGTGTTCGCCAGATGGCCGGGTGCAGGTGTTCGCGTGAGAACCGGATGTCTTTATCTTTCCCATCAAATTACAACATGTGTTCGCCAGATGGCCGTCATGTGTTCACCATATGGCCGGAAACAGGTGGCCGCCAGATGGTAGAGTGGATGTCTAGACACCACATGATGATCATGGTTTCATGTTTACTAATTCCCATGAGTTCTATGGGAGAGGGAATATAAATGAAAATCGTAGATAATTTTTAGTTTAGTAATGTCGAGCGAAGACTTCGGTGATCTTTTGGATGTACTTTATCCTCCGAATAAGTATAAACTCGAACGAAAACTGTGTTTGGTTTGCCGTTCAGTGAAATCCAGGATGGTCACAAAAACAGAGCAGAAAAAGCAAATTTTAGTGTTTTGTAAAAATTGTGTGCAAATAAGACCGGTTTTCATTACTTATGAAGACTTAGTCGATCCATATAAAATATGTAAAATTATATACAAATATAGAAAGTGGCCACCTCTGTTTAGCGTAAGGAAAGAATCACGGCCGATAGAAATTTGTTGTGATTGTGCCAAGTGGAGGGGAGCATACCATCCAGTAGAATATATATATAAAATATATACCTATTTTGAAGTTGTTAACATGGACGAGCAAGGCGATGAGGTGCTATTTGATGAAGACAGCAACGATAGCGGTATTTCACTAGACTGTTCCGTTGTAGACCATAAAGTTGAGGAGAGCAGTGGGTTGCAAAGTCACGAATTTTTAAGACTATCCTCATCAGAGACGCTTTGTGTTACTCAAAATTATGTGCTTTGCGAAAATGTGAAATTGTGCTATGTCTGCTATTATCGAATAGTGTCGCCATTCCAGGAAAACCTGCAGCACATACATATAACAGAACATTTTAGTGCTGCGGGCTCCGATCTTCCTGGGACATGCCATAACTGTTTCGTCTGCGGTGAAAGTTTATATACACTCTGTCTAATCAAATATTGTACATCATGTAAAAATTAAGAATATATTATTAAGAAAATAAATTTGTTTTACTGCAACCATTGATTGCATAACCTCCCCGTTAACACTATGGTAGATTGGTTTTTTCTGTTAAGGGGTGCTCATTTTTTATATAATTTTTCCGTAATATTGATGTATGGACCGTTTCAATGATGTATCACATGTATTTTTATCATTAAAAAACTATGTATGGGGGATGTTTAGGGGTTGAATAGGGTGAGTAAGAATTTTTGTGTATTTTATTCGTAATCTATGCTTAGAAACCTTTTCAATGATGTATCACATGTGTTTTTATCATTAAAAACTACGTATGGGGATGTTCAGGGGTTGAATAGGGTGAGTAAGAATTTTTGTATATTTTATTTGTAATCTATGCCACAACTGACATGTCAGTTGTCAAATGACGTAAATTCTCCACCATTTTCTCATTCAACTTCACCCTTGAATGACGAAGGTGCTAAGTGAAATTCCTGAAGTTAAGCAAAGTATTAATTAATGATACCCCTTAAGCCTAGGCTTAAGGGTGTACACAAACCAAACTCCGTCTACCCCATTTGTACTGGGGATAGGGGGAGCAACGGTAATTTTCGAAAAGTTACATTTTTCACATGGTGCCTTAAGCACACATGTGGAACTTCAAATTTGAAATTATCTTTTATAACCACCTTCATTAGATGGAGACAGGCGAGGTTCAAGAGTAAACAATATCCAACCTCGAATGAGGAAGGCAGTACGTGCCAATTTGTATAATTTTTATTTTTACAATTTAAAATTTTAATTCAACATTTAATTTTTTCTGTGGACACACAGTGGTAAGACACCTAGCATTTCTATAAAAAAACGTTTTGTTATCCTAAATTATTATTGCAGATTGTACCTACCTACCTTCTCACTTTCAAAAAATTTTTGCCTGATGATGACCTTTTAGGTCGAAAGCGCTTGCAACCCAACCGAATAAATTTATGTGGTCGACAGACTTTGAGTCTTTTATTTCCCTTTAATGTATTTTTATCATTGAAAACTACGTATGGGGGATGTTTAGGGGTTGAATAGGGTGAGTAAGAATTTTTTCTATAATTTTTCCGTAATATTGATATAAGGACCTTTTCAATAACGTATCACATGTATTTTTATCATTGAAAACTACGTATGGGGGATGTTTAGGGGTTGGATAGGGTGAGAAGGAATTTTTTCTATAATTTATTCCTAATCTATGCTTAGAGACCTTTTCAATGAGCTATTGAACGCTCTGGTAGGTTGAATTTTCAGCTAAGGGGTAGTTTGGAAATTGATAGGGGTATGTTGGAATTGTGGTCGATGTCGATGTGATATAATATGTTTCCATGTTCAAGTTACTTTGAATGGCAAAATCTATATGTTAGACTATAGAAGGTATGACAGATTGCATGGTCGCCGACGATATTTCTTATGCGACGTCATCATATTGTCGAAAGAGACTATCCTATCTATGTCAGTGTTCCTGTACCTAACACAGTTCGCTTTGTTGGCGAATATCGAAGAAAATTTTGTTCTGAAATTATACGAGAGATATCACTACAATGTGGTTTTTAGTGTTTTGAGATATTTTTTATTTCCAGATGCCTTTTCAATTATCTATTTTGGTATAAATGTTGTCATTAAATATTAGTTTATACAACGGTTTTAAATGATTTCGAAGACGCTATGATATTTGAACATTTTATTGTCTAGTGTATCTGTTTTAGGTGTAAAATCGGAGTATTGTGTTATTTGAATATTTTATTGTTTAGTGCGTTGTGTAATTTCTTTTTACCTGTTAAAGGTGTTTTACCGATTATGGATTAACATTAAATTGTAAGTTAATTTTTTAACATTAACTTTAAGCATTGCTAGACTTTTTTTTTACAAAACAATACTAATAATAATAATAATAATAATGACTTTATTGCTTTCAATACATACAAATTATTATACAAAATTATATAAATATACATAAAAAAAATACTGAAAGACAAAAGGCGACGTTCGCACTTACTGGCGAGCTCAAAGATTGAGCCAGCAAATAAGCAGCGCTCTTCCACGCAACCCAGAAAAATATAAATAATTAAGTAATGCATACAGATTTTCTATGAAAAAAAGTGAAATTCTAGCTTTCAATAAGAAAGCAAACAAACAATTAATATGGAAACTTAGAAATAATAAAAACAAAGGTCAAATTTTATAAATCCTAGATCTGTGTTGTTATTGTAGTTATTAATCAATAGTGACGAGTAAAAAATAGAAATAACATGAAATATTATTGTTCAACTAAATTTAATTAACAATATAAATTAAAAATTGTAAGTGATATCTCCGTTAAATAAAAGGTTTTTGACTACTTTTCTAAAACTTGAGAGTGATGTGATATTAAATATTTTAGGGGCAAGGTTAAATAATTTGGCTGTGAAATACGAAAAGCAAGATCGGAATAAGGTTGTAGTGTGTTTCGGAAGTGTTAGGAAATTTTTAAATCTTACATTAACATTATGGACTTCAGATCTCCTTTTTATTTTTTCATATAAATAATCAGGTTTTTTTTATAACAATAATTTATGGATCAGGACATAGGCATGTAACAATCTCCTATTATTTAGATTAAGCCATCCCAAACTAGCCAGATGTTGAGATGTACGGGTACGACGACGAACCCCGCAAATAAATCTAACACACGCATTTTGAGTTCGTTGTAAACGGTTTTTATGAAATTGTGTAAGTGCAGGCCCATATACAATGTCACCGTAATTAAACTGAGACAGCACTAAGCTTTCGCAAAGCAACTTTTTGGTATTTTTGTTGAGAAATTCCCGATTAGAATAAATTAACTTTAGATTACAGAAAGATTTTTTTATTATAGAAGAGATATGTTGCGCAAAGGATAAATCTTCATCAATGTATATGCCCAGATTTTTCTCACAAACTGAGAATGTTAAAAATTCATTGTTAATACTTACCCTTAGAATATTTTTAATTCTATTTTTAACTTGTTTACGGCCGAAAAGCATAGCTTTGGATTTTGTAGCGTTAATTGTTAAGCAAAATTTGTTAGATATCTCCGAGATAGTTTGCAGATCTTCGTTGATTTTTGTGATAGCGCCATTCGATTCGGATTCTTTAAAGTCAAGGTAGAGTTGAGTGTCATCAGCGTAGAAATGAGAATTCATGTGTTTCAGATATTTAAAAAATTGAGAGGTATAAATTGAAAATAAGAGAGGACCTAAAATAGATCCCTGCGGTGCTCCACGTGTAATATGTATTAAATTGGATGTTTTTTCTTCTATTTGAACTCTTTGTTAAATCCCATAAAATGACATAAAGCTAACAGTAAAGAGTGATTTATTTTGTCAAAAGCTTTTGAGTAAACTAAGAGAATTAGTATACATAATTTTTTAGCATCTATATACGAGTAAATATCGTCTAATACTTTAAGTAACGCTGTAGTGCAACTGTATTTTGGACGGAAGCCCGATTGATGTTTAGGTAGAAGATCAAATTGTGAAATATGAAAGCGAATTTGTTCGTCTAAAATTTTCTCAAAAGCCTTTGACAGAGTACAAAGTATACTAATTGGCCTCAGATCAGAATATTAAGTTGGGTTCTGTTTTTTGGGAAGCGGCAATACTTTTGATTGTTTCCATAAGGATGGGAAGGTGGAATTATTGATACAATGATTGACTATATGTGTCACGTAGGGTAGAATTGTAGGGCAAGTATGTAACAGCATTACAATATTTATTTCATCCGGACCAGTAGCATGGGATTTAATGGAGAGTAATTTTTCATATACTTTTAATTCATTAACTTCGGTAAACTTAAAATCTTGCAGATTCTCTTGGACATGAGACTCATAATGATTTAAAATGTGTATGTCTGGGTTATCTAGGCCACCAATACCGTGAATAAAATAATTATTTATTATTTCAGGATTTTTTAGTTCATTGGGAATAGTAGATTTTTTATTTTTTGTTATGTTCAGATTATTTAATTCTTTCCATATGTTACTTTTTTGTCTTAACTTAAATTCCAGGAATGCTTTTTTCTCTCTCTTAATTGCGTAATTAACTTGATTTTTTAGAGTTTTGTAATACTCCCAATGATTAGAAACTTTTGTTTTATTGAATGTTTCTAATGCCCTGTTTTTATATTTAATCATTATTTTTATTGTGTCTGTAAGCCAAGGTGCCTTATTTTTTGTTATTTTTATTTGCCGTACAGGGGCATGTTTCTGGAATAAATACAATATATTGTTATTTAGAATCTTAATTTTTTTGTCAATGTCGTTTGTTGTGTAGATTTCTGAAAAATCACAGATATTCAAATCATGATTGAATTCATTTACGTTTAATCTTTTAAAATCGCGGTACTTGTGTGAAAAAGGTTTTAATTTATTTTTAACGTATCCAACGTTACATGAGGGTATTGAATGGTCTGAAACGGTAGAACTGGAAACTTTTATGTCATTAGGAGAAAGTATTTCTGAACAAATAATAACATCTAGTAAATTAGGACCTCTAGTTGGTTGGTCTACAACTTGTATTAGATTATATGAGTTTATAACTGAGTAAAACATAGTGCACCATTTATTATTAAGGTCTAGAAAATTTATATTTAAATCCCCAGCAATTATAATATAATTATATCTTGTTGCCACCCAGTTAAGACATTCATCAAGTTCGTTTGAGAACTGTGCAAAAGAGAAGTCGCTAGGTCTGTAAGTTGAGCAAATAGCGTACTTATTATTATTATGTGTAACTGAAATCCATAATTGTTCAGACTCAGTTCGGTTTAAACTTGATAATACAGAGCCAGCAAAACAATTTCTAATATAAATGGCTACACCGCCTCCTCTTTTTGTCAACCGATCGCGTCGGAATAATTTATACCCAGGTAGAAGTACAAAATCATCATCAATTTGGGGTGAAAGCCATGTTTCAGAGACGGTAATTATATCGTAAATATCACAAACAGTACGTTTAAACTCAAAG